GCTGTGAGGTCAGTGCTCACCCTGTGTGTGTGGAGGGTGCTGTGGGGTCAGGGCTCACCCTGTGTGTGTGTGGGGTCAGTGCTCACCCTGTGTGTGTGTATGGGGTGCTGTGGGGTCAGTGCTCACCCTGTATGTCTGTGGGGTCAGTGCTCATCCCATGTGGGGTGCTGTGGGTGAGCTGTGCCCATGTGTTGCAGGCTGCCCTGTGCCGCTGCAGTCAGCCCCTGGCCGGGTTCAGCGCACGCTGCCTGGAGGACGAGCAGATGCTCCAGGCCATCCGAGAGGCCAACCCCGGGAGCCCCTTCATGTATGTTGTAGACACAAGGCCAAAGGTACCTTCCTGGGGTTCTGGGCTGCTTCTGTACCTCATGTCTGAATTAGTAAAGCTGGTTCCAGGTTACTCTGGCACAACTGAGATTAGCTCGGTTGGTTAGAGTGTGGTGCTAATGCTGAGGCTGTGGGGTCAGTCCCTGTATGAGTCACTCACTCATTGATGATCCTTGTGGTTCTCTTCCAGTTCAGAATATTCCAGGGTAATAACTCTGCCAGTGCTTTCTAGGCTGTGTGGGATCAGGGATGCAGGGTCACCTGGTTCGGGATATATAACTGCAGAGTTAAGTGCTGTTGGGATCTGGCACTCCTGGAGTCTCCTGGGTTGAAGTTTGTGGCATTTCCCTGCAGAGAGTCCGTCATGTGTTGAGTTGGGAAGAAGCCTCAGAATTCAGTTTCATGGGGCTGGAGTGTTATTTATCTATTTATTTATTTATTTATTTGAATATATAAAAATAAATAAGACTCCATAGATAATTATTATTTATATACACATAAATATATATTTATAAATAATAAATATGTTTATATAAAATATTTTATTTATATAAAATGTTTTATTATGTAATAATTACATATATTTTGGAGAAATATATTTATATTTCTATACACTATAAATTATATTATTATATATAATATATATATTTTATATATATATATTATACAAAATATAGAATATTTTTAATGTATTTATTGGCAGACCTGGGAGGAAGTGAGGCTGTGTGGGGTCTGATAACAACTAAGAAAAGCAATTGACATATATATATGTATTTATACATACAGATAAATAAATAATATTTATTTTTATTTATATAATAAATATATGTAAGCATATTCTTTTATATGTGTAATGTAAATTATATTGTTCTATTTATTATATAATATATAAATTGTATATTAAAATAAAAATTATAATACATATAAATATTAAAAATATAAATTATTATTTATATATTTACTGGCAGACCTGGCAGGAATTGGGGCTGTGTGGGATCCGATAACAACTGAGAAAAACAATTCCTCCATTTTTTTGCCTTTTAAAAATAACACCAGTGATGTGCAGCTTGGAGTTTAATACACTTCAGCTCTTCTGGTCCATAGCCACTGTTTGGGGCCAGAAGTTTGGAGCTGAGGGGTTTATTTAAGAGGATATTGATAAAATACTTGCAAAATTCAATCTCTAACGACTGTCACCTCGAGGAACTGAATTTAAGAACCAAATCAAATGATTCTCTTGAAAGCATATGGATTAGGAGTGTTGGTGTAAGGAAATTAGAACACAAGGAATTTCATAGCACACAAGTATTTAAATGCAAAGATTTAAAAGTGCACTAACTGTTTTAAAATCGAGCTTTCTGAGAACCTGCTTCACTGTTCAGATATTGCAGTTATTTTATAGACACTGCATATTTAGTTAAAACTATGGCAAGGGCAAGAAGGGGAAAGTCTTTTGGGGAAAATGGGGAATGTTTCACCTATTGTTCCAGTGTTATTTTGCCTTTTTGTACCGTGACATTTCCTAGAGATCACCTATTCTGTAATGATGTATATGTTTATAGCAATCACTGCAGGTTTTTTTGGTACAGACAGCTTCCGATGTCAAAGATGTTCCCCTGAAATCCGTCCTTGATGGCAATTTTGTGCTAAAATATTTGGTGAAAAGGGGAGAATTTATAATTGGTGACATTTCTCTTTCAAACCTCACATACCTTACTTTCGATGGTAGAACTGAAACACTGAAGTTATTTGATAGTCTTAAACATGTCTGTACCATAGTTGACTTTTCCTTTCCTCCTCTCTATGGAGGCAAATCCCTCCTCTGCCCCAAGTAACCTGGGGGGAGGTGGAGCTGCTCTGTTTTCTGTCACCACTCAAGATTTCCTGTAACTCTTGAACTGTTTGGGTTAATTTTTAGGGCAACTGGCTTCTTTTCTACTTTTCTGCAGTTCCAGTTGGTTGCTGTATTCTTCCTGCTCAACTTGAATATTTCTATGTTTCCCTCAGGTGGCTTTATTTCATCTGTGCATGTATGTCTGTGAAAAGCTTTGGAATTCTCTTGCTATTTCTATCCCACCATGTATGTATGTTACTGGGAAAAATGGCTTTCCTAGTTTTGCTTTCCTTTGCTTCTCTCTGAATTTCCTTAGGTAGCTGCACAGTTAGGGCAGGCTCAGTGTCTCTCTGCCTGCTTTGATGACAGCAGAAATTGGGGAAATTCTAGACAGGGTCTTAATGAGCCTCTGCATATGAGTAATGGACTGGAGACACTGGTGTAATTTTAGGGAATTAATGTCTGGGAGGTGGGGAAGTACAGCTGAGTAACAGCTTTGTTCAGTCCATTTTCTGGGAGATTTTAAAAAGAAAGAACGTCTCGCAAAACAGGCTGATTTCCTTCTGTGGAGTGTTGTAATTTGCCCTTCCTTTTCTCTCCCATTCCCTTGGATTTGGCAGTTGAATGCCATGGCCAACCGAGCTGCTGGGAAGGGCTATGAGAACGAGGACAACTATGAGAACATCCGCTTCAAATTCATTGGCATAGAGAACATCCATGTGATGAGGAGCAGCCTGCAGAAACTCCTGGAAGGTGGGTATAGCCCAGGGACTGGCCTTTGCTACCCCTGGCCACTTTTGGACAAAAAAATATCCAAATCTTACGTGCACGGCATTGTGCTGGGAGCAGAGTCAGTGTCTTGCTTTGTTTGCTCCGTGGAAGTGGCTGAAAGTATCAGTGTAGTTAAAATGCTTTCCTGCTTGACATTTGATTTGTTCTTGTGCTTGGTTTTGTAGTGGTTCAACACTAACAGCATTCCTTAGTTAACGTGCCAAATTAAAAGGAAAAGGCTAAGAAATATTACATTAGAAATACTACATTTTGCAACTAAGTCTCATGGTTGCTTCATGAGCTGTTGAAAGAAAACTAACAGAGGTTGTTTAGGAAATACTTTTTGGGGTTTGATATGTTGAGTTTGGAGTATTTCAGTGTTATCTGAATTGAATCTGATTTGAAATACAGTTTCAAATCTCTAATCTCTGATTTGAAATACAGTTTTAGCATGATCTTCCAAAGGCTTGAATCTCATATGTACCTCGTTCTTACCTGTCATTTATTTCTGATTTCTTTTGATTAATACATAAATTCATTTTTTAATACATAAATATATTAAAATGCAGAACCTCAGGTAATTAAGCTCCTTGTTATCTTAGGGGAAAAAGCAAAGCAGAGCAGAAGAAATACTGAGCCACTGGGGATCAAGAGGGAGATGATCACAAATAGGAGTCCTCAATTCCCTGTTCCTGGCAGATTTATTTTGTGGTGGAAGAGAAGGCAGAATAAATACTTGTTTGCTCCCATATTCTTCTTCAGCAGTAATAAAACCTCACTCTCTAGTGCTTATGGACTGCTAGTGAACTTAATTACTGTCAGTATTTTCTGTGCTGGGTTTCATTACAGCATCTGAGTTGCCTTCAAGGTTAGACATGTTATTTCTCTCTCTGTAAATTAGAACTCTCCTGTCTTCAAATCTCTGTGATGCTGAGGGAAGGGTTGTAGATGTAAGTGTGATGGTGATTTATAGTGAAGTAACAGATCACTAAACACTCGCTTTGTTGGAAAAATCTCAGCTGAGAAAAGAATGAGTTACCATTGAAAAAAAGAGGATATTTTCTGAGCCTGAAGTTCTTACACAAACCAGCAGTTTTTAGTTAAGAATTTTAAGTATTCAACCAGTAGTTTCTGTGTCCTTTAGACAGGATGTTACTGCTGACACTTTAAAAATGTAGCTGTTAGGATACCAGGCTGTGGAGAGCTAATGAGGAGGTGCAGGAGATGCTGTTCACAGGGTGTCAGCTCATTCCTTTGTGTTTGTTCTTAGTGTGTGAAATGAAATCCCCCTCCATGAGCGACTTCCTCACTGGGCTGGAGAACTCAGGTTGGTTACGGCACATCAAGGCTGTCATGGATGCAGGTGTCTTCCTTGCCAAGGTAAAACTGCTCTCCAGCCTGCAGGTGAATTAAAAAACATGTAGTTGTCTGTTTGGGAAGGTGTCTCCGGAGAGACAGTGGGAAAACACTGCTATCCAGGTTGGCCTCAGCTCCAAACCAACTTGGAGGACATAAGTGGGTCATCCAGCTGGTCTCTCTGCTAGACACTGCTGTGACAAAGTGTTGGGGTGTTGTCCTGTGTGCTGTTTTGCAGCAAGCAGTTCCTGAGGCTTTATTAGAACTCATTTGAAACAGGTAAAACCACAGAATGTGAATAAAATGAAGTAGAAGCAGTTCTGTCCAGTAGTGCAAACAACTCATAACCCTGGGCTCGTTATTCAGTTACCTGCTCTGCTTTAATGGCAGGATTGTTTTGACCAGTTTATTTGCTGGGTTTATGTGATGTGGACACTAATTTTGGCTATTGAACACAATCCTCATTTCTGCAGAACTCGTGGCTTTGCAGGTCAGGAAAAGGAGAGAAGTCACTAGGGCTCTTCAGGAGCAGTAAAGGGTGTGCAGGAAATAACATTGCAAGAGTTGTGAGAGCAATTGTCTCTTACAATTTTCCCATGTAGCAAGCATGAAAATGTTATTGTGTTTTCCTGCCACTAGTACAAGGGGAAGAAGATGATCCATAAGGGAGGAGGTTGGGATCAGCTCTTCTAATTTGTCTTGAGGTTCCTGATCTCCATGTGTCCGATTCTTTACCCATACACTAAATCTTTCCTCAGAGGAGGAGACTGAGAATTCTTGGCCTTTCAAGAGACTGAGTACTTGAGATCACAGGCTCTGTTTCTTGCCAGTCTGTTGCTGCCAAGACACACTGCAGCATTTTGTTCTAGTTGGGGTTTCTGTGGGTTGATGGAACAACCCACAGATGTTGGTGCGTTTCCATGGTCCAGATGAGAAGTGACAAATATTCCTCTGGAGTTCTAGGTAAATATAGATGAAGGGGTAGCATTTATTTCAGAACTCTAGCTGGAAAGGTGCTGAAGTGCTGCGTGTGGTGTCTCCTCAGGCTGTGAGGGAGGAGAAGGCCAGTGTGCTGGTGCACTGCTCCGACGGGTGGGATCGCACGGCCCAGGTCTGCTCCCTGGCTGGGCTCCTCTTGGACCCCTTCTACAGGACCTTCAAAGGCTTCATGGTAAGGACACCAATGTTGGTATTTTAAAAATTCAAAACTAAAAAGTGTTTCCTGCATTGGAAAGGTAAACAGGCCCTAATTAAGTGTTTTAGGCTGTTTCCTGGCACAAGCAGGAGGTGACCTATATAAACGAGCTTTGATTCTGTAATGAGCTTTAATTGCTCTGAACAGCGGGCACAAAAGGCAGGGGTTGATTTACAATTCCCGAATCTTTGTCTCCTTGAATGTCCACATGAGAGCCACTAATGAGAGGTTTCAGCAAGAGATGGGTGAGGAAAGGATGCAACTCTGGCTGGAATCCACCAAAAAGTGCTGTAGGAGCTTGTCACATAGGTCTCTTATCTGCCGAGATTTCAAACTGGGTGAACTCACTGTCGAGCACGGGGCAGTGTATAACCTGTATATCAGTAAAATCTGCCTCATTTCAGAGCTTTTTAAAAGCCATTTCACATGAATTTGGCTGTTGGCTTCTAGTGCAGGCTTCTTCTTTTTTGCAGCCATCCCTCCATGAATACAGTGCGGTCTGGGATGTGCCTTTCCAGTCCTCCCTTGTTAAATACCTGAAGAGCTGCTGCTCTTTCTCAGAAGAGATCCTTGTAAGAATCCCTAGAATCACAACAATGCAAATTTTGCCTTCTCCCATGCCAGGACTGCTTCCTTACATTCCATGCTAGTTTTATTATTATTTTTGTTTCTGGATTATACTGCAGGGTTTTTTTAACAGTTAAAATTACATCAGCATAGGAAACATCTGCCTGGGCTTTGGCTGTGAACAATTCTGCATGAACTGAGAGACATGGATTTCTTAGGAACAGGAGCGATTACTGACACAGACACATCCTTGGCTGTCCCCTGAGACAAGGGTTTATAGGCACAAGTCCCCTGACAGTGGTTATTCCTAAATGAATTAACGAGGAGTGTTAGGAATGGAAAAATTTGATAAGCAATATAAATGAAATCTTTGAAAAACTCTGTTGTGAGTTTTTCCTGCCTTCTATTCTTTAAGCCTCTGCATGATGAGATCAGGAATTGATCTTCAGATATGATCCAGCAAGGAATAATGGATGCAGCATCAGTCATGTGGTTCCTCTTGAGACATCTTTCAGGAAAACACTGCTTCCTTATTATTTTCCTATAGCTAGCACAGGGATTCTATTTAAAATAGAAATTGGTTGTTCTGATTTCATCCTGAGCTCCTCAATATGCAGCTGTACTTCTTATATTCCTATTTGTGTGTTAAACATTTGTTGAATTCCAGCTGCTGATTTATTTTGATGAGTTAAATAGCACATAGGGCAATATTAAGCTGTTAATTCTTTTAGCTCAGTGTGCTTATATGTTATGACTTTAAGAACATAGAAGCTCCCTCAAAATAGTACTAGACTTGCTTGAAGTTCTCATTCCAACAATGCCATTGCTCTGGTAACTGGATAATCTGTAAATCACAATTACTGTTCCCATTGATTTCTGTGGATATACTTGTAACTATAGAGTCAGCAGCTTTTTAGGCTTTAGCATCAAAGGCTTCACTTTTCTTTTTTAACCAAAGTAATGCTCTTTTTTTTAATCCCTCTTTTGAAACTGCAGGTTCTGATAGAAAAGGAGTGGATTGCAATGGGCCACAAGTTCTCCCACAGGTAAGAGGAGCAGGTTATTTGGGTGGAGTGACTGAGTGGGACTTGACTGGGAAACCAATACAGACAATGTCTTCAGGTTTATGTGCTCCCAGGAAAAATGTAAAGGAAAATACAAATCAGGGGAGAGAAGATTTGGAAAAGACTGGAGTTGGTGACATAAAGCCAGTATCTTCCAGGGCTGTTATTTCATCAGTGTTTTTTTATTACTTTGCAGAATTATAGGCTTGAATTCATTGTCTGAATTCTGGGTGTTTTCCTACCTGAAAAATTTTATTATTTGAGGAGTGCTAATCATAAAATCAGAGAATCATTAATGTTGGAAAAGACCTCCAAGATCCTAAAGTCCAACCATTAACCCACCCCCATGTCCCCAAGTGCCACATCCACTCCAGGGGTGGTGACTCCATCCCTGCCCTGGGCAGCCTGTGCCATCAATAGGGTTCTGATTCATTCTTTTGCAATTATCTCCTGGGGGAAGATCTCAGCTGCTGTTTTTCAGGACTTTTACTGAGTTCAAACCATAAGCTTGAAGAACTGGAAGAAGACTTCCCATTTTAATGTTTAGGGGGCTCTTTTTGTGTTGGGTGATACAGGATTTAACCCTGTTTACATCTCTCCAGGTGTGGCCACTTGGATGGGGACCCCAAGGAGGTGTCCCCCGTGTTCACCCAGTTTGTGGAGTGTGTCTGGCAGCTCATGCAGCAGTTCCCCTGCTCCTTTGAGTTCAATGAGAAGTTCCTTCTGGAAATCCATGACCATGTTTACTCCTGCCAGTTTGGCAACTTCCTTGGGACCTGCCACAAGGAGCGTGAGGATCTCAAGTGAGTTGGCAGTTGGTAGAGCCAGAAGTGACTTGAAGTTTCAGGAAAGGGGCAGGTTGGATGTTTTTGTGTGTTTTAATATAACTCTAGATTAAGGGTAGCATTGTCTTGAGAGATGCTAAAAAATTATATCCCAGAAGACAGATGTTTTAATTTGGACCACAGTAACCCCTTCTGGATTGGCTGGTGGATTATATATTCCTCAGGGATGTGTCTTGTGTTTATGTAATTAATCAGATAATGTGTAAAAATAATTCATAGCTCCCTTAATCTAATTCTCCTCTGAACAGTTAGAGTTCTTAATCCACTTGCCTCTTTTTTTTTTAGTGATTAGATGTTATTTGTACTTGACAGAATCTTTGAGAAGACCCATTCTCTGTGGCCTTTCCTCTTACAGAGGAAGCAGGAATTGAGAAATCCTTTGTACAGAGGGTTTACAGCTTACAAAGAGCTTCAACCAAACACACTGCCTTTCAGTTTCCAGTAAGTTGCTCATTTAAGAAGGGGGGATTTCTTTCATTATGATGTAGATTGATAATTTGGGTTTAATAAAATAAATTTGCACTGATCAGCTTGGTTTGTTTTACCCTTCCCCTCCATTCCTCACCCATAAACTGAGATTAGCAGTGCACCGGTAATGGTTAAATAAGTGCAGGTGCTGTAATTTAATATTTTTTCTTTGGGGTTGAGAAAGAGGGTGAGGAAAGGCAAGGAAAAGCAGAACTTCAGATGTAGATAGAACCACACGCCCCCTGACTGCTTGCTCTGTCACATGTAAGTCATAGGCTAGGCAGTTGTTTGAGAAAGTTCCTCCTTTTCTCCCTTTTAATATATATTAAGAAAGTCTTTCAAGCAGGAATTTTGTGCCCAGTCACACCCAGGCTGATGCAGTCAGGGTTTTTTTCCCAAGAAGAGTGTTCTAGTTGCTTGCCCAGGGTGTTACAAGAGGTGGTGAGTTTGGCTTTGTGTCTGGTCCCTGCTGAGGGAGAGGGGGATGCAAATGTCTTTTTAAGTGCTGTGTGTGGTTACTGGTGGGCAAAGAGTTTTAATAAAAGTTGGGCAAACTGAGGACTTGAAGGCGAGCTGCCCAAGCCTCCAGTAAGTCTGCTATAGAAGAAAAAAAAAAGTGTATTTTCATCCTATTCTAATACCTACTGTCAGGTCTTTTAACTTTATGAAAATTTGCCCATTGAGACAGAATTTCATAATCCAAGGCTGTGGTGGTTTTTTGCAATCAATTACCTATCACAAGCTGTTGAAAATTCTGAATGTTGGCAGTAGGGCACAAGTGACCTCCTAATTCCCTTTTCCTGCCCTGTTCTTGAGGTTTTGGTGTGGGATGTACAATCGCTTTGACAAAGGGATGCACCCAAAACAGTGTGTGTTGGATCATCTGCTGAGCTGCATGAGCCAGAAGGTGCAGCTGGAGGATGATGCATCTGAACTGGAAAACGTGAGGCTATTTATATTTCTTTAGTATTTCAAATCACATTGGCCAAAGCCTTCATGGATCTGGGTTTGAATATTGGCACTGGAGAGTTGTTTCAGCAAGCTGGGCAAAATGAGGGGTTAAATGACAAGGCTCTGCTTGCAGTAGATTTGCTGTTTGTATTAAAAAAAATCCAAAACACCCATAAACAAACTAAAAAACACATCTAAAAATATACCAGTGAGAAGGCTATCAGTGTCCTTTGCCAGTTTAATGTGGATGCTGAAAACTTCAGCTTTCCTAATTAAACTCTGGCCTTTGTATCAAACATGTGAAGATCTGTGCCCATGGACTTCAGTGCTGGAAAAGAGGCACTGGCACAGGACTGTTGTGTTGACAGCTGATTTTTTGTACACTGCTGACACCTGGGATTAGTACCTTTTATTAATTTTTTTTTTTAACATCTTTTTATTTGTGTAGAAACTTCCTTTCCTTGACGGTCCTTTGCCCGGTGAAGCTTCCTCCTTCCCCAGAGCAGGACATGCTGCTCCCAAAGCCCCCGTGCCCAGTACTCCTCAGGACTATGGAGGGGCAGCACCCCCTGTGCTGAGCAATGGGACCTCCCCTGGGGCTGGGGGCTCAGCTGTGGACCAGAAGCACAAAGAGAACCTGTCCCACCACCACCAGGATCTTGGTGCCACCACGGAGGTGTCGGACGGGAATGCTCAGCACCGGCGAGGAGCTCTGGGAATACTCAGCACCAGTGAGGACCTCTGAACTGTTGGGTGAAGCAGGCTCTGGTGGGGTGACCCCACGGGGTGCAGACCCCCCATTTACAGCTGAGTGTGAGTACAGGGTGTGCTGGGGGAGCAGGTTGGGTTTGGGACACATCCCTGTGCAGCTGGAATGATGCAGAGCTGCCCTGGAGGCTCCTGGAGCTCGTGTAAACTCGGTTTTTGGTGGAAACACGTGTGTTTTTAAGGTTTGTGGCTGCCTGCCAGCACTGGTGTTTGAAGCTGGAAGAAATCCTGGCCAATTAATGCTGAGAGCTGGGCAGTGTTTGTAACCAGAGGAGAGAGGATGCAATCTGTCTGTGCTCAGTGCTGGTACAAGGTCATCTTAAAATGATCAAAAATTCCAGTTCACTTTAAAATGATAAAAAAACCCCCACTCTTTCTTAGCTGTGAATGACTCTCTGCATGGACCCTCACCTTGTAGCAGAACTGACTCAGTTTTTGTTTCCTATGCATTTTTGTTACACAAAACCTGTGCCTTTTTCTGAGGTTGCTGTCATGTCCAGCCACACCATGTGCTGTTTTTATTATTGTAGTGTAAACTGTAGTGTTGGGTCTTTGTAGTCAGTATTTCTAAGGAGGTTTTTACCTGCTGCAGCCTCCCCAGGATCTTTGCTGATCCCCCTGAGTTCAGTAGCTTCTTTCTAAGCTGAACTCTCGAAGAATAAGTTCGTATGGACCTCATTTACTGCAGCAAGCCAGAGTCAGCCTGTAACACATGGATTTTTGACCAGAGGAAGGATTAGAAATGAGGAAAGATAGGAAAACATTTCTGTGGAACTTTTCTCTCTTATTTTATGGTCTTGGTTAAGCTGAAGACAGTAACTCTGTTTTAAGCTGGGATCAATGTGCTTTCCCCATGTCCACTGATGAGGCAGCAATTAGAGATGAGCTGTGTTCTCTTATTGAAATGGGGCCTAAAATGATTTTATCACTTGCTGAGTGATTACAGGGAATGTTATCTTGGGTGTTAAAGTTACATGGACTGTTGGGATGTTTTGTCTGTACCATCAAGATGTGGTGAGATGAACAGTGTCTCTCGTGGCAACGAACTTGGTAATTTTGTGACAAAAGGGGAATTGGGATGTGAGCCCTCATTGGAACATGAAGTGAATATAAACACCTTGGGACGTGGCTGTGGCTCCAGGGCTTGTTAACAGTACTTGGAGTCTTCCATGTGCTGGAACCTCAACTGGAGATACAGTTCAAAGTTGCAGGTTTAAAACAGAGATGTGTATTGCATCTATAGAGAAACCCTGTAAAGAAACGAGGACTTTTTTTCCCCAAGGAATGGATGTCCCTGCCACAAATGAGTGTCTGAAGGTCCCTCAAAGAACCCCCAGCAAAAGCAGGTTTCATGGAACAGTGGAAGTGCGACCAAGTTCATTGGCAAGGTTCACTCTACTGCTTCATACACGGTTAAAGTACACGTAGAAAAAGCAAACTAAAAGAGAAAATCAATCATTGTAAAACCAAAACCAACCAAAAATTATCCACCTGGAGGCTGGGGATGGAAAAGAGTCAGGATAAGAAGGAATAAGGGAGAGCCTCCTGTGGAGGCACAAGGTTCAGAGTAGACCACACTGCCAAACTGAGCTCTGGGCTTGACCAACAGTTTAGGCCTAAAGGTTTCGTGGAATCATAAGCAGCACTTAAACTTAACAGCACTGAATCCATAGCTGGAGGTAAACAATTTACAAAAGGATTCCTGGAGGATTTACTAAAAGCACAACTCACTTGGAGGCTGAACTTCTTACAGCTCTAAAGTACTTAAGAATCCAGGAGAGCAACATTCCCAGTCCATTTGCTGTGGCATCCCACAGCCCTAAAGGAGTGTGTACAGGTATATCCCTGGGAAAAAATCCCCTGAAATTCAGTGAAGGACTCGTGTTGGATGCCTTTGCATGTTCTCAGCAGGCAAAGGTTTGAGGTTTCAGCCCTGGCTCCTCCAAGTAGAGCAAACTTGAGAGTTTTGTGGCTCTGAGAGGTGTCCTGCTCCAAGGGAGATGCTGGTGCAGCCACCTGTGGTCTAGGAGAGCTCCAAGGGTCTCACTCAGGACCCCTGAGTTGGCTTTAATCACAGTCATTTTCCATCCTGGCCACAATTTGGGTCAATAACGTTCTTTGCAAGATAGATAAACAATGTTTAAAAATCAATAAAAATGTTGTTCTACTTGTTCAGGCAAGAAAAATCAGTTTCCAATCAGTTGGTTAAAAACCAGGAGCTCATTATCCAGCAGAGTTCCTGGGAACAGACTGTTTTTGATGAGCTCAAGAGCTCAGCCCAGGTGCTGTTTGTCAAGGCCAAGGCCTAAGGAGCATTTCTGAGATCACAGCGTGGCCTGGGAGAGGTGGAGGATGTTCCACTTCCAGGAAAACTGTCCCACATTCCATGTTCTGGACAAGCTTCTACAGATGTGCTTAATTGCAAAGAGTCCCTTTGTGCAGTTAATTCAGGATGCTTTTCTGCTTGCTCTTGAAACTGTTGTTTAGGTGCTGCTGTTAAGTTTTAAAATCAGTTTTTCTCTTTTATGAAGCAAATATTGAAGTGAGCCTTCCCAATGTCCAGTAAGAAGTAGAAACATTCCATTATAGCATCATAAAATGCAATATCTGCCCCTTATTGTGGTGAAATCACTGGGTGAGGTTTGGTCTTCAAGATAAAGTAGAAAAAAAACAACCAAACACTCCCCTGAGTGTCTCACTTTGGGTAAGAAAATATCTATTTTATTAAGCGTATCAAAAGACTTTAAAAGGGCAAGAGCCAAGAACACAGAGTTCCTTCACTGCCTGGAATGGCAAAGAGGAAGTTTTTTAATATTGGGGGGTTGTCAGTCATAAAGCAAATAATAGAGTTGTTTTCAAGGAAGGAGTGGGAGCTGAAATGATTGATTAAAAAGTGATTGATTAAAAACCAAGCACATGAAATGCTGCCCCAGCTATGACTTACAGATCAGCCCCTGTCTCTTCTTTCCAGGTGGTACAAGAATGTACCGGCTTCTTGGAGAAATCCCAAATGGGAAATGAGGCCCAGAAAGGCATTTTTTTAGGACCAAGTATTCTAGAGATCATCAGTTCTTTTAATATCTTTAATATCTCTGATTTTCATTAGAGATACAGAATTGTAGAGGGTTTTGACTGACTCCTGAAGGTTTTAGACATGCCATTGATTAATTATTGTGTAAAACCAGCTTGCAGGAGGATTCGGTAAATGTTTACACGTTGCCTTGTCTTTGGAATTGCCACAGATTACCTTGAGAAAGTTTAATTATTATTAATTATTCCTGATCTCTACAAATCCTCTTGACTACAATGTTACTACGGGGGTGTGTAACCACCACCAGATCACTTCAGACCCTGCAAGTGTTAGTAAGCTTGTAGTAACCTTGCTGCTTTCGACTTCAGTGACAGAAAAATGGCTGACTTTATACTTGGAAATGCAAAAATTCATGTCCTGTCTTTTTAAACCTCTTGAATTTAATGTGTACAGACTTGGTCAAACCTGCAGTGTATTAAAAATCATTCATGCTGGTGCTGTAATTTATGGAGCTGGAAAAGATTCCAGGCTTTCCTGGTTTTCCATGAGTTTATTGGTTTGAAAAGCCATTAGCAAGAAGCTTTTTAGTTTTGATGGTAACTCTGGGGTGCTTGAAGACCAGAAATGAAGGTCAGGTGGGATCTCCTTCCTGAAGCATTCCAAGAAGCCTATGTTCCCTCCTCATGGAACGCCCTGCTGACTTGATTCTCTGTTTCCTGGAAGTGTTAAAGGAGTGGAAAAGCTGTTACATAGGAATCTGCTTCAGCAAGCCCTGTATGAGAGTTACTGTGACTTATTTATTCCTAGTGGAGCTTCCCTGCATCCTGAGGTCAGAAATCCTGCTTTTATTTGGAGCTCTTGAGTCAACAATGCAACTTCCTTCCATTTGGATTCCTCTGACTGGGAGAACTGGGAGGGAGGAGGGATGTGGTTTGCTGTGGGTGGGCTCTGTTTGTGTAAAGCCGGTCCTTTTCTGGAGCTCCTCTGGCTCCACCAGGTCCCTCCAAAGCTTCCCCAGGACCCTCCTGCCTGTGCTCAGTGTCCCTCCTGCTACAACCAGGTGTAACCTTGTAGTAGGTCACATTCTATGTTAAAACTACTACTTTGAAGTAGAAGAGGGACCTGTGGAACTTCATTTCTCAGTTGAAATGTCTTAATGTGAACTTCATTCTGGTGGATCCTTAAACTGTGTTTTGTTTTGCAGTTGGCAGAGAAAATGCAATGGGTGCTGTTTGCTCTGCTGGAAAAGAAGGGAATAATGGATTTGTCTATAGTTTTAGTTCTCCACTGGCCTCTTTATAGGTGAGAAAAAGCAGTCTGTTAAAGGTTTAGGTGCAGTTTCCTCCTGGCTGCCTGGTCTGTTCCTGTGCTCAGTGGTTGCCTGAGTTAAGTCCTTGGAAGAAAACTCCCCCTGCAGTGTGGCTGGTGCACAAATGCCTGGGATGGAGGAGGACACTTGCTTGGAGGCAGCTGGGAAGCTTTGCTTGTCTTCAGTTGCCTTCAGGAAGCTTCTGGAATCCTGGAGAGCAGGATTTGCCAGGAGCTGAAGGTGTGCTTCAGAGGATTTCCACCTGGAGTGAGACCTTGTGGGGTTACAGGTTGGAATCTCCACGCTGAAGAGCCCTGTGACTGCTGTTCCCAGCAGGTTTGGAGACACAGAGCCCTGGCAAGAGCTCCCAAAGCTGCAGCACCCACAGGATAAGCATTTCCAAGGGAAGAGCTCCTGTTCCAGGCACTGCTGCCTGGTCCTTGGGCAGCCCCAGTCCCTGAGGGGCACAGTGTAGTAATGGATATCCGTGAGGGACCAGGAGAATTCCAGCAGTGTCTGTGTCACTCTCCTGCCTGTCCCACCACTCTGGGTGCTGGGGTTGTTTTTGTAGGGACCAACCCAGTTATTCCTTGTTTACATCCCAGCCCTCACGCACATCCAGGCACTTCCATGGGGGGAAGAAGCTGCTCTGAATGTACCAGTTTTAGTTACTACCCAGAGCTCGATAATTAGCTGAGGAACCAGGTGGTGTTAAGTCCATGTTCAGGCAGCCAGGTGGGTGCCAGCAGCAGTCGGTGTCATTTGTTGGGGCAGGTGTTGTAATAATTACATTAACTTAACGTCCAGTTAATAATTACATTAATTTAATGGGCCCTCTGCAGTGCAGGAGCGGGACAGGAGGGCAGTGGGTGGTGTGTCTCTCCCACCATTTCTCTCTATAAATGCATCTGTATTTAATGTAGCAGATAACTCCTGGAGTAACTCATAGGACTGGATCCCATCCCAAGCCCAGATGGACCTTCCTTGTCGTCCACAAACTGATCTTTGTAGGAACATTCCCAAAATTGTGTGTAGTGCTGGCTGGAAATATCAGTGTTGCTGTTTGTCTGTGTCACTGCTGAGGGACAGTTGTGTAAGTTGTGGGTGGTGAAACCCCCTGTTCCAGAATGTTCCATGATGGCCCTGTGTGTCAGTTTAGTTCGTGCACTGCTTGAAAAAATGACTGTCCCATCTCTAGAGAAGCACTGTGGTTTTTTCTCTCTAAATGTATTTGTCCCAGGAAGTTTCACTTGTATTACAGTTTATTTTTATTCCCTACAAAAATAAACACCTCGCCTTTTTAAAGTAGATAAATGGCTGGTCTGTTCATTGTTTATTAAGTAACTCAAAGAACAACTTCACACTTGGAAATGTGAAGTCAATTAAAGGATCTTAAGTAATGAGCTTATCTAAAAGTGAGTGTGGTACCACTTCCCCTTCCTTTACAGGAGAGAAACTGGGTGGCCTTATTGGTTTTGGGGGGTGCAGCACTGCCTAGGTTCTTTAAAAACAACCCAAAAATTATTACTAATGAAGCTGTGTTAAAACTTAGTGTCTTCTTTACACTGTGCTACTCTGATATTTTTTAATTAGATTCTTCTTTATACATAAACCTAAATATCTTTAGATATTAAAGGCAAATATCTTCAGTGTTTTCTTTCTCCTGGGAAGCTGTTTGTGCCTCAACCACAGGTGACTCCAGGCTGACTGCAAACCTTCCTGAGGAGCAACCAGAGCTTCTGGCCTCTGAGAGGAGCTTAGTCCAACCTTTGTGGGTGATCCAGGCTCCAGGTGAAGAGATTTCCCTGGTGGCTTTTGAGTGATGAATCCACAGCCCCACTGCTGAGGGTGTAATTTTAAAATGCTGGTTTATCCCATTCTTTTTAGTCATTAATTCAAAAGTCAAGGTGAGTTGTTACATTTTCTGAGTGCAGGCAAACTCAGGTGAGGTGGGAGAATGCTCAGGGAAGAGGGGGATTCCAGGTGCAAAAAACTTGCCTTCTGTTTATGAACGAGGTTGGAATCAATACTTTACTAACTCAGAGCTGTGCAGCAACAGTGCAACCTACAATTAAATCTGCAGAGTGGCGAGGCATGAGGTGAAAGGAGTTGATTTGATATTTTGAAGGCTTTCCCAAGTGCTTCAGGCTGCCATTTGCATTGGGAAATGCATGTGGATGGTTTAAATCTGTGCCTGGCAGAGCCATGCAGGCTATTTTAGTAATCAATCTGAAAATAAGCATTTGGAGGTTTTTAATACTCGTGTGGGAGCTGAGCAACAAGGAGGGGACCTGCAGGAGATGCTGGTCCTGAGCTCTCCATCCTCACTTGGGGCAGGATGAGGCTGTGAACCCCCGGAATAGACCCCAGACCTGTTATTGAGCCCCTGATCAATATTTCCCACTGCACTGTGCACCTTAAAAATGGGGATTTTCTAGCTATTAAGGCAAAAAATTAGGCCTGGCTCTTGGGTATACTCAGTCCCCGGGTGTTTCACAGCCTTTTCTTCCTTCTTGCTAATTTTAAGTGTTCTTAATGTTGCCAGTGAAATCCTTCATTTACCTTAATTAGACTTGCCTTACATTTAATTGGATTATTAGCATTAACACTGACTACAATTGATAAAGCTACAGTTTACATTTGGGGGAAATTCAGACGAAAGGTGTGTTAATTGTAGCTTCCCTTGCCTGCAAACAGGTCCTAGATTGGAGCGTTCTCCTGGAAATTGTATTTTCCTGCTCTTTAGGGGAGTGGAGAGGTGGGGGGGGGATACAAAACCCAGTAGCCTTTGGAGTAACAACCCTGAGTAAGGGTTATAGTAAGTGCTAACCCTTAGTAGGGGTTACTGAGTAATAAGTGAGTTAGTCAGAGCAGGGCAGTGGGGTTGGGAAAAGTCAAAGCTGCTTTATGAATCTGATCTTTTTTGCTCCCTCTCTCTCAACAAAGGACAGATCTTGAAGCCTGCTCAGCCATGGGAGAGAAGCAAGGAATCCAGTATGAATGGGAATCCATAAAGACATATCCATAAGCAAAAATCCCCATGGATGGATCTGCAGATTGTCAGGTGCTGTTCCTGTTGAGGGATTTCCACCTGGGAGTGTTCCAGGCCAGGCTGGATAAACTTTGAGGAACCTGGTTTGGTGGAAGGTGGAACTGGATGGTTTTTAAGGTCCCTTCCAACACAAACCATCCTGGGATTCCAGGCTCCAAAAGGGAGCTCCCAGAAGGCTGTGCAAGCAGGGAGCCCAACTCCTGGGGCTCCAATGCTGCTGAAATTCCTCAAGGAGGAGAAGAAACAGGTGCTGGATTCCTCCTTCATGTCTAACTGTGCATTTTGGGTGTTAACGCACCAAGTAAATTGGGAATTGCCTACAATGGAGTGGTGGCTGTGCAGGTGTGTGCAGGGAGCCAGGGAATTCTGTGCGGGTGTCTGTGCCCTCTCCTGGGGAATACCTGAATCACAGGGCTGCTGGAGCCACCTCCCGGTTGGGCGGAGAGAAGGTGGCCAGCAGAATCCACAGGCATAAGTGCTGGAATGTGACCGGCTCGGAGGGAAACTCCCAAGCTCAAAGGCTTCACTGCGGTCTGGCAGCGACTCCCAGCTCAAAGTAGCCCCACTCAGTAGCTGCGTTTCTGACCTTGAGGACTGTTAGTAAATCCTTAATCCCTGCAAAATCATTTATTTGGCACTGTTTAACTCCAAACTTTTAAATCAGGATGCTTAGCAGCCTTAAATCCAAAAGCTCATTAGTCTCCTCAGCTGCCTTAATAACTATAATCTCTTTAATGGAAGCAACTCCGGACAGAATTTACCTTCCCAAAAAACCTTATTGACTGGCATTAAGTACACTTCTGCCTTCTAATTCTTCCTCAGTGAAGGAAGAGCTGATAAAGAGTTGCTTTGCTGGAGCCCAGGCCGGGTCAGCCTCTGGCTCAGGGCAGCTGCTCGTGCCAGGAGCTCCTAGAGGTAAAGGGTTTTCCTGACTCCTCGGCCTTCCCTGGAGTTTGAAGCACTGGGAAGCTTCTCCAAAATGGTCAGGCTTATCAGTCACCTCTCACTGGGCTCCCATCAGGGTTTATCCAGCTCTGTTGATGTAAATATCCACATGGGATTCATGGAACACGTTCCTGCAGCAGCACAGGGAGCACCAGGAGCATGTCTGTGTGTGATTCCAGCTGAGGAGGTTTCTCAGCAAGTGCTTCCTCATTAGTATTCGGTTTAATCTGCTCCTTTACCAAAGAACTGCTCTCGTTTCTAAGATCTTTCTTGGTTAACAACTAAAGAGCAGCAACAACAACAAAATAATAAGCAGTTTATCATTAATTTCCCTTTCAAGGGTTTTCCTTTCATCTCCAAGTTTCCTACATTTCACATTTTCTAACATGTATTCACTCTGTTGTCTGCACTCCCTTTTTTCCCCTTTATAACACTGTCTTTTTAATGGCTGCTTTGATTTCTGTGTTTTGTGGGTTTCCAGCCAGGCTTGGCTTTTCTTACTGCAGCCTCCCCGTTGTGGTTGCAGCTTCTTGACACTCAGCAAACCTTGAACTCTCCACTCCTGCTCCCACGTTTATCCACATAATACTCCATAATTCCATTGGGGAAACTGACCTTGTTGAAGTAATAACCTATTTTTGGCTGAATTTGGAGAGTGAAAGTACAAGGAAGCCAAAAGTCTAAACCCAATCAATACTGAGCATTTCCCTGCTCTTAGCAGTGCCCACAAACCAGGTGGTGGTGACATGGGGACATCACACATTTTGCAGAGCCCCCTGATTTCACTTCTTGCAGCAGTGGAGATTTTCCTGCTGGACAATTTGGTTCCCCTCTCGTTATCTCGTGCCACTGATAACTCTACCTCAAACTGCCAGACTGTTCCTGCTCCACTGCCGAGGACTTGGGAGAAGGCTTCAAGGGAACTGGATAAAATACAATTACACTTCCCAGCTGACAGCTTTTGATAAGAGCCCCAGTGCTGTTCTCTGCTCCTTTTGTTTGCCCTGTAAAGTTTCCTGCCTTTCTCTCTGCTGCTTAATTTTACAAAGCCATGGCCGTGGTTCCTTCTGGCAGGTGCATCCAGGGGAGAAGGAGTAGGAACAGCTCAGGAGGGAAATCTGGACTGCCTTCGATGGCTTTTGTTCTTCTGGTGTTTAATAAGCAATTCTGGATGATGCAAATGGCCATTTTTGTTGCTGTGAAAGGGGAGAAGGCAGTTAGGAGAGGGTTTAAGAGGGAATTTGGGTGACTGGCAGCCCTGGCAGGGGACCCCAAACCACCCAGTTCCCTGTGATTCCTTTGAGGAAACAGTGAAGCAAATGCTTTGTGTCTGCTCAGATGGGTCAGGCAGCCCCCAGCACCTGTCCCAGCCTCCCCCCACCTCGCTGCCCTCACTATATTTACCCAGGGGGAACTTTCCAAGAATGGAAGTGGTAAGATAAAACCCCTGAGAGGCTAAAATTAGCCCCAGGCCCCGGCCCTGTCCCACCGTGGCATTTCAGCTGTGAGCTCTGAGCCCGCTCTGGTCACACAGAACGAGTGGCCATCCCCAGCAAGGTCCCCTCTCTACTACTCCTGGTTTTGGGTTTAATCCACGGGAGGACTCTCCATGGGACCCCCAAGGCCTCAAGTGCTGTGAGCATCCCCCCCTCCCCAGGTAAGGCAGCAGCTCCAGGACCCCCCGGTGGTGGGAGATGGGAGGTACCTGAGAACCAGCTGTACAAGTGTGTTCTCTGTCACAGCCTCTTTTTTGGGGGGTCTGTGGATGCCTGGACAGCTTCTTCCAGCTCAGGACATGACAACTTGTCTCTGAGGGTGGGAAGGCCCTGGCACAGGTTGCCCAGAGAAGCTGTGGCTGCCCCATCCCTGGAAGTGTCCAAGGCCAGGTTGGACGGGGCTTGGAGCAACCTGGGCTAGTGGGAGGTGTCCCTGCCCATGACAGGGGGTAGATGGGATGAGCTTTAAGGTTCCTTCCAACCCAAACCATTCTGGAATTCCATGAACTCTGGTTTGGGCTCTTCTGGTTGAGGAGCCTCTGTGAGCTCCTCACACGAGTACTTTTACTGTCCAAGTAACCTTCCTTTGGGGAGATCCTGTTTGTGTGTTCAGGAAATGTTACAGCTGCTCTTTTAGTTTTCCATACTGTTCCCCTTGGAAATATAACTTGTAATATAACTTTCTTTTTGAACCAAATCTGCAATAACCCCTCCCCAAACCCAATTAGCCATGTGGGTGGGGTGATCCCAAAGCTCCAGAGCTCATTATCAGTGTGTCTAATGAATAACAGCAATGCTACAATTCCATATATATAAATTCCATAATATAAATTGGGACGTGTGGAAGCCCAGCAGAGCTTTGCTGACACTCAGAGCCATCAGATTTGTCCCAATTCCCCCAGCTGTGCCATGGCCTGGCAGAGGGTCACTGGGAGCTCGGGGGCGGATTTGGGACGGGCCCCCCGTGGCCGCCCCGTCGTTTGCAGATCGAGGTTAATTGCTCGAGGTGCAGCTCTTTGGCTCCTCCGAGGGCGGAGCAGAGACCGAGCTCTGCCTCTGCCGCGGAAACCCGATATGCCACAGGGCTGCCGAGAAATTCCTCCGCCCATATCATTTCCAGCTGGGACATCACATTCCTGTCCCTTGCTGCACTGAGGCCACGTCCTGCACCCAGAGCCCGGCAGTCGTGGGGGGAGTTCAGTCTCTGCTCAGTATGATCAGCTCAGCATCCCCCCTTCCTCCCACCACCCTAAACCCCTCACTACGAACATCCCAGACCCAGCCATGTTCCTTGGGCTGGAGGAGGAGGAGAGAGGAAAATTGTGGAATTCTAATGCTGGCATCGTTTTGGGAAGGGAGAAGCTGAAAGGTGTTTGATCCCTAATCAAACCAACTGCCTTCACATTCAGCTCATCCTCTGTTTTGAAACCCAAGTCCTGTAAAAACTGGCAGGGGGTAAAAACCTTCCAACACTGCCAGCTTTTCATCCGGGTTTCCTGAAACACTTAGAATTGTAGGTGCTGGTGAGAGTCCCAGGAACGAAGCAGAATTGTTTCCTGCTCTTTTCCAACATGCTCTTTTGTCCCAGGGAGAACGGGATGGGGGTTGCTGAGAGTTTGGGAAATGGGAGGCTTTGCCCAGCAGTGGGTGCAGGGGCCTTGCCAGATCCTGTGGCATCCAGTCTTCCTGAGCTCCAGGTTGAGTATCCCATGAGGAATCTCTTACCCTTTACCCCCTCAGGGCTGATGGAGCCAGGCTGGGAGAGCTGGAGGGGTTCACCTGGAGAAGACAAGGCTCCAGGGAGACCTGAGAGCCCCTTCCAGGGCATAAAGGGGCTCCAGGAGAGCTGGAGAGGGACTTGGGACAAGGGATGGAGTGACAGGATAAGGGGGAATGGCTTCCCACTGCCAGAGGGCAGGGATAGATGGGATATTGGGAAGGAATTCTTCCCTGTGAGGGTGGGGAGGCCCTGGCACAGGTTACCCAGAGAAGCTGTGGCTGGCCCATCCCTGGATGTGTCCAAGGCCAGGTTGGATCAGCCTGGGCTAGTGGAAGGTGTCCCTGCCCATGAAACTGGATGGTCTTTGAGGTCCCTTCTGACCCAGACCATTCCATGATTTTAAGGGAACATGACCCACGTACCTGCTACACCTTTGCCCTCTGTTGTTGCCTCAGCCCTTTGCCCACAGGGTTTCCTCACGTGGTGGCAGGGCAGTGCTGCCCATCAGCAGCACCAGAACCCAATGCTCTTTGTCCATTTTTGTTTTAAATCTTCCCCATAATGTACATTAAAAATAATGCTAAAAAGCTGGCGTTGGTGTCAGGGGCTGGTTCTCACCCGCTTTTGTCATCCTGTAGATCTTTGCCTTTATCCTTTACCATGAAAGCAGCACATGGGTGACAGACCCCCAAAAATGAGCCTGATGGACATCAACAAAATCTTCTCCATGCTCCAGCCCAGGGATGACGAGCAGGAGGACGATGGGGAGAGCGAGGAGCTGAGCCGGGCGGTGTCTGAGGACGACTGTGAAACGCTGCATCGTCTCCTGTCCCAGGACAGGTACAAGAGGCTCATCAACCGCCGGAGCGGCTGGGGGGTCCCCAGCACCCCCCTGCGCCTGGCAGCCACGCGGGGCTGTGTGCGGAGCCTGCGGGTGCTGCTGGCCCACGGGGCCGAGGTGGACGGCCTGGACGTGAAGGCCCAGACCCCGCTGTTCGTGGCCGTCAGCAACGGCCACCGCGAGTGCGTGGAGGCCCTGCTGGATGCCGGGGCCAGTCCCGCGGGGAGCATCTACAACAACTGCTCCCCGCTGCTCCTCGCGGCCAGGGACGGCAACGTGGACATCCTGCGGCAGCTCCTGGAGCACGGAGCAGAGCCCAACGTCCAGGCCAGGCTGCCCCAGTGGGCGGCCAACTCGGTGTCCTGTTCTGGACCCCTGTACCTGGCGGCCGCCTACGGGCACCTGGAGTGCTTCAGGCTGCTGCTCCTCCACGGGGCTGACCCCGACTACAACTGCACAGATCAGAGGGTGATCGCCCAGATCAAGGAGCCCAAGACCCTGCTGGAGACGTGCCTGAGGCACGGCTGCCATAGCAAGTTCATCAAGCTGCTCATTGACTTTGGAGCCAACGTGTACCTGCCCAACGTGCCCGTGGATGGGCCAGCACCACGCAGTGAGGGGCTGGAGCTGCTGCTGCAGGCCAGAGGTAACCTGGGGGTGGGCCCAGGGCTGGAAATAGGCACTAGATTTGCTTGTTTAAGCTGCTGCTGATTCCCCTTCCCTTTATCTTTTGCTTTACCCAGGCTTTCCTTAAGCCTCAGCTCCCTTTGCAGCATCACTTGACTGCTGCCCCACCCCTGGAAGTGTTCAAGGCCAAGCTGGTCAGGGCTTGGAGCAACCCGGTCTAGTGGAATGTGTGCAAGATGGGTTTTAAGGTCTCTTCCAGCCCAAGCCATTCCATAATTCTATGATTCCCACAGCCTGGTATTTCCACTTCATTGTTGGGTTAAAGGCTGCTTTTCACCATTCCTCTCTTCTCTGCTGCTCAGCTTGGGCTCTCCTGTGTCAGGGAAAAATGCACTTATTTCCATATGAGGACGGAAGGTTTCCTCTCCATGCCCAGCTCCCATGGAACTCGTGCTGCAAAGCTTATGTCTGGGTCTATGTCCCCAAACACCTTTGGTTTTCCTAGAATCATGGAATGCCTTGGGTTGGAAGGGACCTTAAAAACCATCTAGTCCAACCCTGTTTATTTTTGATCTGTCCATGTCCTTTTGTTGGGTTGGAGGGGAGCAGGATCTTGGGGGTGACCATCTCATTATTCCTGTCTCCTCACACAGCTCATCCCAAGTCCCTGCTGTCCCAGTCCCGGCTGGCCATGAGGCGAATCCTGAAGCAGCCTGGCCACCTGCCCACCCTCAGAGAGCTGGAAATCCCCACAGTCCTGGCCAACTACCTGCAGCACCAGCCGTGACACACAGCCCGCCTCCAGGGACAGCCACTCTGACATCTGGGAGTGAAGCTCGGAAATCTGTGGAACCAACAGGAATTTGTGTCACAAAGTCATTCCCATCTCCAAAATTGGTGCCTGTGTGAAAGGTTGGGGAGGGAAGGGGCAGAGGAAACAGGACACCTCAGCTCCTGGTCTGCATCAGAGTGATGGTGGAGCAGGATCTGATTCCCTCTATCCCTGGATCTGCCTCTAAACCTCCTTACCGAGGGATTTTTCACCTTGAGTTGATGTTGGTTGGAGAAGGGGTTGGGAAAAGGTGTGGAAGGCAGACGGAGAGGAGCAAAGGCTGCTTTTCCCTCATCCCCTCATGGGGTACACAACCAGGTCTGTGCCTGCAGGTTCCCCCACAATGTGGCACCTGCTGCCCCTGAACCCCCTTTCCCAGGGTGGGGAGGCCCTGGCACAGGTTGCCCAGAGAAGCTGTGGCTGCCCCAGCCCTGGAAGTGTCCAAGGTCAGGTTGGACGGGGCTTGGAGCAACCTGGGCTAGTGGAAGGTGTCCCTGCCCATGGCAGGGGGTGGAATGAGATGAGCTTTAAGGTCCCTTCCAACCCAATTCATTCCTTGATTCTGTGATTCCCAGAGGGATTTCCAAGTGTACCCTCTGTTCAGCAGGGGCAGAAGTGGGGCTGGACCCAGCCATGTGTGCCCACCCTGGCTGGGAGGGGTATCCAGAGTCCCAAAACCCCGACTCATCTCTGACCTCAAACATCATCTTCCTCACCCCAAAAGTGGTTCTTGTTGTAGCTGAGGGTCTTCTGTGACTGGGCAGGGTTGGGGTTTTAATGAAAAATGTTGCTACTGTTGCTATTAAACTCTTGTGACCCATTTGGGGACATATCCCATATTTGGAAGAGCCCAGCAGCCCAGCTGGCACCATTGAAGGGATGCAGGGAATTGCTGTGCCTGGGGAATTTCAGGATGAGCCTGGAGTGAGGCATCCCGGCACCACCTCCATGACTCTCCATCTCTCGAGCCTTTGACATTGGGATCATCCTCACTGGTGCCTTTCTGGCTCTTCCCACAGCCAGGAGCTCAAAGATAAACCACAGTGCTGGTGATGCTCTGGAGCAGTTTTGGGATGCAGCAGAATGTGTTCCTGAGGGTTTATTCCATCCTGCCCTAACAGCATCCCAAAGGGAAGCACTGCCAGGCAGAGGTACGGGGTTGGAGCTCCATGTCAGGAGCTCCAAAGATCATTCTTGGCCAAACACAGGATTCCTGCAGGATTTATGGGCTTGTTTCAAGGGTCCTGGGATCTATTAATCAGCATCTATTAATTAGGCTGTGGGACCTCTCCCTAGGGGAGAATTAGGGCTTGGATATAGCTGGACAAAGCATTGGGAATTGCTCCATAGGGGAACATAATGCTCATGGCATTTCCCTCCCCATCCAGACACTGTGATGGTGATCCAACGGGAGATGGGGGTGGGAGAGGGGACATTGTCATGCTCCAGGGGGGATTTCCACCTGTGGGAGGGGCAAGGCTGTCTCTTCCACTCAAGGGGCCCATGTGTCACTCCCACACGGGGATCTGAGCGGACTTTAGGAATTAGGGAGGTCCTCAAAAGGAGGAGGAGTTTTCAGTGCCGGGCTGCTCAGTGCGGCGTGAGATAGGGGGGAGCCAGGTATGTGAGAGGTGAGGGTGAGCCGGGGAGTGACTGGGGGGTGAGCTGGGC